TAATTTCGTTTTTAAAAACCAATTTTTGTTGAAGTTATTTAGGAAAAAGTAACTACATGCATTTTAGCGACATAAGGTTTAAAGGGCCTGCCAGGACAGGGGTGGGATTTAAATACCCTTCGCGCCAGTCAAAGAGTTAAGATATCACGTATCAAAATAATGAATGATAACTGAGTTTGTTGTAAACTGCATGTTAGGAGTATGTTGGCTTCATCTCTGAATGTGGTTGAGACAAGAATTTCATAATTTTCCCATACTTTAATGCCTCAGTTGAAGGCCTGGTAAGTGGCTGAGGTCTCAAGTCTCAGATGTTATTTGTGAATATTCATTTCAGTCTGGACCAAGATGTTGGCTGTCTTGATGCATGTATCTGTCACTGCATGCAGTCAGCGTGAAAGTGCCTTTGAATTAGGCAGTTTCAAGCAGTTCACTAAATAATTATTTTCATATCTGGCATTGTAGTAATATAGCATTGTGAATAATTTATGCGGCAGCCACATGTTTGTGGTGAATGTATCCACATGACATTATTAAACTTAAACATAAATTGAGAAAGTGTCTTACACAGAACTCTTTTTATTCTGTTGCAGAGTATCTTGATTTGAATAATAAATTTGTATTTTATTTTGCATTATTTAATTTCTTATTTGCATTTTAATTATTATTTATTTTATGTTAAGACAATCATATGTAATATATCAGTGTAATCTAGTGACAGTTTCTATATCCAGTGGTTATGTATCTGAATGGATTGATGAATGATGATAAAAAAAATAAATAAGTAAATGTGATTTGTTTCATAAAACTTGGGTTTTTCGAAAATTTTGTTTTAGTGTGCATGGGGACTATGTTGTGGAACACTGTATGTGTATATAAAATTTAGATCTTAGTGTACACAATTTTATAACAAACTGGCTGAACGCTTTTACTAGAGGGAATGTCTTTTTTTTTTTTGCCACTTGAGGTGTTAAGTTTTTGATATTATGGTTACTTTCTCTCTAAGCTTAGTACATAATGTGCATGCAGTAGTCATTCTGTGGGTCTTGCAAGGGAGTAGAGATCAGTATTTTCCCCATTGTTTGCATATTTTGTATTATCTCTCATGCAAAATATGAAACTGCTAGAATGTTATAAATCTTACTGTACCATCAACACAGGTAAGTGGTTTTATTCTTAGCACCCTGTTTCTGAGCCATATTTAGGTGGTATGCACTTAAACATAAGTGTTCTCACTCATAGCCTTTCATCATCAACGTACACAGTGTGTCCAGGATCTGTTAGGACTCATTTTTTTAAATTTTGCCCTGCAATGCCATCTGTTGGCAAGTTGTGGTGTTTAGATTCTTGAAGTTTCAGCGGTGGCTGTCTATAATTTGAAAGCACAAGCATCGCTGCATCATGTGTTCTGACCTTGAATGTAACAATACTGTTCTGATGCTTGTTGGAAAATGGTGGTTGAACAGAGAGCCAACATCAAATTTTGTTTGAAGTTAGGCAAAACAGCCAGAGAAGCGTATGAAATGATGAAAAGTGTGTACGGTAGTGATTGTTTGAGTCACTCGAACATTTTTCCATGGTATGCTGTATTTCGTGACGGCAGGGAGGACATTGAAGACGCTCCACGTGCAACAAAGCCGAAAACAAGTTGCACTGAAGAAAATGTGAGAAAAGTGACCAAAATCCTTGCATCAGACAGACGTATTTCTGCAAGACTCATTGAGGAGCTTTTGGGAATAACAAAAAGTACTGTGCATCAAATTTTGACCAAGGATTTGGGCAAACGGAAGGTCTATGCACGTGTTGTACTGCACGCGCTGTCTGGCGGTGAAGAACATGCCAAAGTGGAACACTGCAATGACGTTACGGTCGGCCCAAAGTGATACAAAATTTACAAAATCGATTGTTACTGGTGACAAGACATGGTGTGTTCAACATGAGCCTCTCACAAAGCGGCAGAGTGCAGCGTGGTTGAGCCCAAAGAAGCCGAAACCAAAGAAAGTGCGCACGCAAAAGAGTCAAGTAAAGACACTGCTAACCGTTTTCTTTGATTCCAAAGGAATCATTCACAAGGAATTTCTACCAGGTCAGACAGTGAATTCTGACTATTATCTCGGAGTCCTCAATCGTTTGTGGGTGAGAATTCTTCGAATTCGACCTGAATATCGAGAGCAAGGTTCGTGGTTGCTCCTCCACGACAATGCCTCACCCCACAAATCGAAGATCATGCGTGATGTTTTTGGTCAGAAAAGGGATAACCGTCCTTGATCATTCTCCACATTCGCCAGATTTTGGCTCCAGCAGATTTATGGTTGTTCCCAAAAGTTAAGTTGGTGATGAAAGGAGACCGACATGACACTGGGAGCATTCCCACAGCGTCTGGCAAACAACCGTCACCCATTTTAGAAAGTGCCAAACAGGCAGTTGTGACCAAAGAGACACAGCATTTATACACACTCCAACTACTACAACTTATATACCAGCTACATATATTTATGAACTTCACCGTGGCCCCGCCTTTCCATGCACGGCTCAATGGATACGCGCTGTGACAACTGTTACTTTAGCTCCACCTCCCGGCCAGCAGTATTTAAGACCGTGAGCCAACGGTGCAATCAGTTCATCTCGAAACAGCAACGCAGTCAGAGGCATCAACTCCTTACTGCGACCGGGCAACTGACATAGTTGCCACAAGCCTCCAGCGACCAGGCAACCGAAGCAGCAACAGCAAGTCTCCAGCGAATGCAGCTTTCACCACTTGAATGACCGGCTGAGGCAGCGCTACATTACCGTCCACACGGGCCAGCTGGACGGCCATAAGACTCCGCCCCCTACGGAGGAGTGAAATTTGTCGGCATACTCGCAGCGGAACAAACAGTGAACATAGGCATATAGCATGTGGTGAACATTAGTAACGAACCCACAACACCACCCAGGATATCCAAAGGGAATGTACCGCAGTTTTAAATGCGATTCCACAAAAAGAGTACAGTGACTGTTTTTGAAGACTTTTCAATCAATTCCAGCTATGTATTGATTCAGAAGGAGACTATTTTGAATAAAAAGAGTGAAATTTTGAAAATAATTCATGTCTTGTATTTTTAATGAACAGTGTCCTAACAGATCCTGGACACACTGTGTACATTGGCTGTATCTTTGAATTAAAAACATTTCACTGAGATAAAAGGTACTCAAGTACTCTCCTTTAGCAGGCATAGAATGAAGTTTGGCCACGTTTTATAGCAGTTACATTGAACATCACTTTTGTAATAAGTGAGTTATTTTAATTTTGCAGTTTGTCGTGGACTTCATTAAACCTGAACCTAATGATAACAGTGAGACATGTCCTACATCATCTGACAGTGACCAAGAAGTAGTTAGTATAAAAGAGGATAATGATTCTGTGGCAACATTACCAGTTAAGAAGGCTGAACATGTGGTAAGTGATGATAGGTTTATTTCTGTACTTATATTAACACTTTGCGGACCGCGCATGCATTAATACGTTTTTTGCTTTTAAATGTGGCAGACCGGTCATGTATTAATACGTTTTTAGAACAGGATAAATTGCAACACACTATACATCTCTCTGACGCCACCCAGCTTGCATGTAGCTGCCTGCAGCTGCATGATAAGCCTCTGGAAGTTTGCTGACTAATCAGTTATGGGACCTCACTGCAACTGTATGCCCCTGCAAAGGAAAATAAATTCCTTTATTTCTTCAAGCTGTACGTAGCAAGCTGTCAGTGAGTAGTGCAATATGCAAACATATAATCCTGGGAAACTTACAAAGTGTGGCCTGCTTGTTCGTGTAGTTACTGAAAGCACTTCAGGCTTTATAATTTATAATTTTATTCTGGTGAAGGAAATAAATTACAAGAAACTATTCTTTCCGTTTTGGAACCCTATCTTGATCAAAATTACCATGTATATCAAGACAGTTATTATAACAGTGTGGCAACAGCAGAACACCTACTTTCGAAAAAATTATGTTTTTGTGGAACAATTAGGGTGAACAGAGGCCTTCCTCCAGATCTGAAAGAGGAATGTAAATTCCTGAAACGTGGTGAAACCACATTCAGGAGGAAGGGGGATATTCTACTTCAGCCCTGGAGGGATACTCATGTTGTGAATATGATTTCCACAATTCACAATTTGAGCATGGTTGATGTTCAGAGGCGACATGGACAGGTAAAGAAGCCTGTTTGTATTTCCGAGTATAATATGTTCATGAAGGGAGTTGATAGAGCCGATCAGTACTTGGCCTATTATTCTCTATTATAAATTGTGCCATTTTCAATTCATTTATGGTTTTCAAAACCCTCATTCAAAATTGAAATACAAGGTATTTCTGCTGAATGTGGCAAAAGCCTGGGCTACAGACCACACGGTGGCGGCAGAACCGGCGGCAGACACAGTCTTAGTGTGACTGGGCCCATCTACTCCCACCCCACGCAGGCCACATGTGGACACCCCTGGGCAACTCTTGGGTGATATGTGGAAACATACCCTCGTGAAAATTGTGAAGAGTGAACATTCCAAGGGGAAGCATCCTTCTAGGCAATGCCGTGTTTGCTCAGTTCACAAAAAAAGACTATGACTGTCTACATTTGCAAGTGTGTAATGCCACTTCACAAATGGAATATTTCCAGAAATATTACACTCTCAAGCACTTCTAGGAGCATTGGCAAGTGTTCTCCAAAAATTTTAGTTCATAAATTTAATTAGATTTTATATTAATTTTTAAAAGTGAACAGTGCACAAGTTAGGGTAGTAGGTATAAAAATGCCGGTCCACAAAGTGTTAAGCATTTTTTGTTGTTTATATCTGCATTAACCCTCACTCACTCACTCACTCATGGAGCTGAGCCCTTCTTGAGAAGCTGCCAATTATGCAGCTTCCCAGCATTTTATGGAACCCAAAGGTTCGTTACAGTGTTCACAAGAGCACTTCACTGGTCCCTGTCCTGAGCCACATCAGTCCAATCCATACCATTCCATCCTATCTCTCTAAGATCCAATTTAATATTGCCCACCCACCTATGCCTTGGTCTTCCCATTGGCCTCTTTCCATCTGGCTTTCCCACCAATATCCTCTATGCATTCCTATTCTCCCCCATTCATGCTACATACCCTTCCCACCTCATCCTCTTTGACTTGATCATTTTAATTATACTTGGAGAAGACTACAAGTTATGAAGCTCCTCATTATGCAGTTTTCTCCAACTTCCTGTCACTTCATCTCTCTTCAGTGCAAATATTATTCCCTTAAAGTCAGAGACCAAGTTTCACACCCAAACAGAACCACAGGCAAAATTAAAGTTTTGTATATTCTAATTTTTATGTTTTTTGGACAACAGATGAGAAGACAAAAGGTTCTGGGTTGAATGGTAGCAAGCATTACCTGAGTTCAATCTCCTCTTAATTTCCACCTGAATCAGGTTTTGATTTGTTATCATCGTTCCCAAATATCTGAACTGTGCCACATTTTTTAAACATCTGAAAATGTGGCACAGTTCAAACTGAATTTTTTCACAGTTTTATTTAAACATTCAGTTCAAACGTCACAGGAAACACATTGTGTCTCTGGTACAAAGACCAGGCGGTTAACACTGTTTAGGGAAAGCAGTTACTGTTTGTTATGAGAACCGTATAGAACAGACAGATACACCTTGTGGGCAGCATACAGGGTTTTCATGTGTTAAAGCAGGTGGCACATAGAGTAACCACTGGACATTCAAGGGTTAAACCCTCCTATCACTTACACAAGGAGCTTCAGCTAAATATTAAAGACTCTACTTTTTATGGATGTTTGTATTTTGGATTCTTAAGAAATACTCTTCAGCTAGTGTCATTATTTGTCTGAATTGCAATGTAGGAGCACTTAAGATGAAATTAAATTTTTCTTTTTATTACATGTTTACAGATATATGAATCGTTATCTGTATTAAAAGGATATTGAATTTTACTGCCCAGTTGATGCACCATACAACATAAAATTTTAAAATGTGTACACCTATATTATAATGTAATTATTATGATAATAAAGAGAAAAAAAGTAAAGCTGTCCCTGTAACAGGCCGTGAAGGCCCATAGAGTTGTGAGATGTTGAGGGTCCAACATTATCTAGACAACTGGTTCAAAGATGGCAGTAAGGTTGTCAGCCTTACGTGCCGGCCGCGCTTTACTCCCCAAGAAATTTATTTAATTAATTCCTGGTACTCATTTCTGTTAGAGGCTGAGTTGACCTCAGGGCCATAGTGCAGCTGGAAGGATTAGGTCAATTGAAAAAATCCAATGACCTCATCGGGACTTGAACCCACAACCTTCTGGCTTGTAGCATAGTGCCTCAACCAACTATGCTACCTCATGGCCCATTATTATGATACTAAGCATTATAAAAATAACTTAATCATTGCTCTGTACTGTGTACATATTCATGACAAATAGCCAATGACTCTGTCCACTAGAAATCATCTTTGGTCTCATGAAGTTACCATTTATATCATTGTATAAATTTTAATATCAAAATAATTGGTGATTGGAGGGACCATCACAGTGTGCAGTTTCTTTGAGTTTGTGTGAGTCGCCCTGTGAATGCTGCAATGAGCTGCATAAATACTGCATGTTTAACACTTCGCAGACTGGCGATTTAAATATTTAAATCACCCTGGGTATTTTTTGGCATATCCCCCGAGAGTCACCCTGGGGGGTCCACATGAGGCCTTCATGGGGTGGGAGTTGAAGGGCCCGGTTGTACTAAGTCTTTATGTGACCCTGGTTCTGACGCCACCATCTGGACTGTAGCCCAGGCCTTTGCCACATTCATCAGAAATGCTTAGTATTTCAATTTTGAACCAGGGTTTAGATTTTTTTTAATTTTTTGCTGTCCCCGCAATATTACTACGCGCAATGTTATTACCCGCATTATCGTCGGAGCTACTGTCACTTTTACTGTCTATGGCCACAATTCTTTGTTGTCGCCCCGTCACTGTCGCTGTCTGAGTGACAATCCATTACTATGCGTCTCACAAGGCAGGTCAGCTAGGTCATCGGAGGAGAGTTTGTCTTTGATCCGCTCTCCCCACTAGCTACTGGCTGATACACACAGCTTGAAGAAGGCAAAGCATTTTCCTTTACAGTTGGTTACGTAAACAGCGAGGTCAAGTTACTGACTGCTAACTAAACATTCCAGAGTCTTATCATGCATCTGCAGGCGGTTTCATGCCATGTTAGCCAAAGTGATGTATAGTGTGTTGCAACTTACCGTGTTCTAAAAACATATTAATACGCGACCGGTCCTCCACGTTTAAAAGCGAAAAACGTTAATGCATGCACGATCCGCAAAGTGTGTGTGTGTGTGTGTGTGTGTGCACGCGCGCCCGTGTAGCTATGTAGTAGCTGTTGGTAGTATGGTAGATGAATGATGAATTGAACAGAATTTGAAAGGAAATCACTGTAACCTAATTGGGTTACTATCCCGGTATTTGCTGGGAGCAATTCAAGAAACCCATAATAAACTCAAGTCAAGATAGCTGGTGTCCCAGCTAAGAAATGAAGTGAGCACCTCCTGGATACATATCGAGAGCACTACACTAATCTTTCAGTATACAAGGTAAAACGAAATTGGTACACATGCTTTCTATAGAGCAATTTCCTTATAAAAAACAAGTAAAATATATTGTAGATCAGCCGGGTCAAACATGTGGCCTGCGGGCTGCATGTGGCCCCCATAGCCACAAAGTGCGGCCCCTCAACTTTTAGAGCTAATTGATATTAAAATCAATATTACAATTTTAGTAGAAATATTTTTTGTAAAGACAATTTTCCAACAGACCAGAAGACAAGAAGTCTCACGCAGACATAAATTAGCAGGCTGCAGGAAAAGTGATTCTGAGAATTGCAGAATGGTTTGTCCAACTAACGGTTTGTAAAGTTCATGAAGGACAAACTATTGTATTTCAGAAGGGTAATGCACTAAACTCCTCACAGCCTCACCACCCCAAGTATTTCCAAGAATCCCTTTTGGAGGCGTAGTAAGACTGCAAAGAGGGTGGCAAATGACAGACAAGTGCAAGGGATTTCTGCCTTCAAAACTAGCTTACAACCCCCAGCCATTGTCTAATGGGCTGCTAGCAAACTTTCACTTTTATGACCATTGAGACAAGATACACCTTCCTACTAGTCTGATAGTCTCTTGTACATTGTCATTCAGTTCATTTTCACGCAGCGACAGGTGCTGATGTTACATTGTGATGAATGTATAAAGGTTATAATTAAACATTAAATTATCAACTATGAGTTTTCTTGTATATGTACAGTAACTTTTAAAGGGCAATATCGCTTTCAAAAAATTCAACTAGCAAAAAAAGAACTATTGAAAGTGAGTGCCGTGTTTTTCAAGAAAATGGGAAATTGCTTATTTCTGTTATGAAATAGAAGGTAAAATTACATGTTTGATTTGTGGGCAAAATATAAGTGTTCCAAAAGAGTACGATGTAAGATGGCATTACAAAACCCATCGTGAAAAATATGACCATTAAGAAGAAAAGTCAAGGGAAGATAAATTACAGGATTTTAAGGCTGCACTCGGCAAGCAACAGTCTTTGTTTACAAACGTGAAATGAGACAATGAAGCCGTTGTTAAAGCAAGCTATGTAATTGCAGAACTTATAGCAAAGAATTCTAAATGTTTTAGCGAAAGTGAATTTGTAAAAGAGTGTCTTGTAAAAACCGCAGAAGTTGTATGTCCCGATAAGGTTCAAATTTTCAAAAACATTTCCTTGTCACGAAACACTGTTGCCAAAAGAGTTGATATTGTGACTAATTTAAGTGAACAGCTGTTGGCAAAAGTTTCACGGCATTTTCTATTGCAGTCGATGAAAGTGCAGATGTTAGTGGTGTGGTACAATTAGCTGTGTTTATCCGGGTATGTGATACCGACTTAATTATAAGTGAGGAGTTACTAGACATAATTTCTCTTAAAAACACAACTGGTGAGGATATCTTTAACGAAGTATATGGGCTCTTAGAAAAGTACAATCTTCCGTCATAGAAACTTGTGTGTGTAGCAACTGATGGGGCTCCTTCTATGACGGGGAAACAGAACAGATTTGATGCTAAGTTAATGGTCAAGCAGAAAGATGTCTGTCCTAGTTGTAAGTTTCACCATATTCACTGCATCATTCACCAAGAAGTTCTGTGCTCAAAAATCATAAAAATGAATCGTGTGTCGCAATTTGTAAAGAAAGTAGTCAATTTTATAGTGAAACAATATAGTTGTTGGTTTTTTGTCTTCCAAGTTAACAACAGTTCATGAAGTTCGACAGATGTAATTTTGATGTTATTAATTCAATGTTTTGCTATTTCTNTCTAACATAATTTCATGTGTAATCTCTCTTTTTACATATTGAAAAGCTGTTTGATACTTGTCAAAAATGGCATTCTCTTGCTTTTTAAAACTGTAAGATATGTTATTTTGCTGGTGACAGTAGCCGAGTGGTCTAAGTCATGCACTGTCTTTGCTCGCCCGGAAGCCAGGATCATGGGTTCGAATCCCACTCAGGGAATGGATGTTTGTGTGCGTTTTTCTGTGTTTGTCTACAGGTAGAGGCCTTGCAACGAGCTGATCACTCGCCCAAGGAGTCCTACCGAATGTTTAAGATCTAGTGAACCGAAGTGAAACGGAGAGTTTCATTGAGGTAGGCCTAGGCGCAAATTGGGGCTGTAGCGCCAGAAAAAAAAAAAGATATGTGACTTTAGGTAATTATATTGAAATTGTTCCTAAATAATAAATAGAATTAAATTTCCTTGTATCAAAATCTAATGTATATTTCTATTTTGAAGTGCGGCCCTGGACTATTATTTATAGGGCTGAGGTGGCCCTCTGTACAAGTTGAGTTTGACATGCCTGTTGTAGATCATATATCCTGCCTCGTGTAGTTTTCAAGATACATGTCACCATGAAATATTGTAAGTTATCAGATGATCAAACCATGGCTGCCGCGTAATTGCAACATGTGTTTGAAGCAGCAGCTGTCCACCCCAAGGCAAGTAATACAGTGCACCATATGGTAGTCTCTTGAACATGCCTTCTTAACATATTGGCAATGAATGTTATGTGAGCTGCTTGATGCCTTTGAAAGTCCTGTGATCATGTCCCCACAGGAAAAAATCCATCAGAGTTAGAGGCAGTCATTGACAAGGCCATGCAGACATCTGTCCCTTAGTGCACTGAATCTCTGTCATGCTGAAACCACAACTTCTGTCTCATAGCTTCAAGCAGCCTCAGTAGAACAGTGTCTATAAACTCATGATATGATGCTGGTAGCAGTAGGGGTTCACTGTAATGTCCCCAACAATGCACATTGTCTCTCTAGATAAGCATCATAATTTCACCTTGTATCATAAAGCAAGTAAGGATTTGAAATGAATGAACGCCTTGCTTATTTAGTTACCACTTGTGTATCATATTAGGAAGGTGCCAGGATAAAATCAACTTGGCTTAGGCAGTAGCCAGCCATATGACAGATTTATATTGATTTCCACAGTTCCTGCAGGCAGGTGACTAAAATTTGGCCACAGCCGTTTCTGTTATTTTACTTAAGATCTTTAGGTTATTGAAAGGTAGGTATGTAAGATCTGAGTTGAAAATTGAACATAATAATGTTAATGTGTTCATCAGAGATATTTGGAAGAGCAAGGATCATTCAGAATTCATGTTACTTTTCATACTTGTTACACTTAATTTCATGTGATTTTTGTTGAAATAGCTCTGTTCATGTGATTTTTGTTGAAATAGCTCTGCATAACATACTGAATTGCTGATTAAGACCTTCTCCTTTTTCAGGCATTGAAGGCTAGTGAAGTTTTGGAAAGTAATGTTGGAGTGCGGCCTGCCCTCAATAGTGAACCATGTGACGGTTACACTGACCTAAAGGAGTATGAAGGCCATGATCAGGATTCTGGAATTAAAAAAAATTCATTTACTGAACTGGAATCTTTAAATTCTCACAAACGTATACACTCTTGTGATATTTGTAAGAAAGTTTTTACTGACCGTGGCAATCTCAAGCAACATCACCGGGTGCATACTGGAGAGCGCCCATACTCGTGTGATATTTGCAAGAAAGCCTTCACTCAGCATAGTGGTCTTAAACGTCATTTATATGTTCATACAGGACAGCGCCCATTTTCTTGTAATATATGTAACAAATCTTTTAATGTTCATGGTAATCTCAAGCAACACCTTCGTGTGCATAGTGGAGAACGCCCTTACTTATGTGATATATGTACAAAAGCCTTTAGTGTGCACTATAATCTCATGCAACATCAGCGCGTGCATTCTGGACAGCGACCGTACTCGTGCGATACATGTAAGAGATCTTTTGGTCAACGTGGTCACTTAAAAAAACACCAGCTTGTGCATACTGGAGAACGCCCATACTCATGCAACATATGTAAGAAAACATTTACTGCACAAGGTAATCTGAAGCAACATCAACGTGTGCATACTGGTGAACGTCCTTACTCATGTGATATATGTAGAAATGTCTTTGCACATCGTAGTCACCTGAAACAACATCTACGTGTGCATACTGGAGAACGACCATACTCATGCGATGTATGTAAACAGACTTTTCCTCGACACGATACTCTCAAGCAACATCAACGTATACATACTGGAGAACATCTTTAAGCATATTGGACATACTGCTGTGTGATGCTGTTCATTTAGTTGTAAGAAAGTGGCCTCTGTTCTGTTAGGTATAGTGTTTATACACTTACTATCATTTATATTTTCATAAAATTTACCATTCTTCTGAATCAGAATGATTCTCAGTGTTGCACTTGGTTATACATTACTTTATGTGAATATATTTACATTTGTAAAGAAAGTGACTTCAGTAATAATGTAGTTAAGTTTTTCATAAGCATAAGTTAAAATAAATATTTAGTTTTACATACCATGGAATAGCTGTTGGGACATGTGGTAGCATAGTTACTTAAGGCACTATGCTACAAGCCAGAAAGTCCTGGGTTCGAGTCTTGATGAGGTGAATTTTTTTTTTCACTTTACCTAATCCTTCCAGCCGCACTATGACCCTGGGGTTGACTCAGCCTCTAACAGAAATGAGTACCAGGAATCTTCCGGGAGTGTAAAGGGCAGCCGGCATATAAGGCTGGCAAACTTACCGCCATATGTGAGCCAATTGTCTAGAGGAAATGTGGGAGCCTCGATGTCTCACAACCCTGTGTTCCTCCGCAGCCTGGAATAGGTGTTAAATATGAATGTGTTTAAAAGAGAAGATTTAGGGAAGCAAATAACCATGATCACAGAGATATGCTGAATTAGTTCAGATTTGAAAGAAAACATCTTGATGTCTCATCACCAGAATGCAAGACAGGATTACAACATAACAGATATGTAATGGATCTTATCAAGGTGTAAAATTCAAGTAATTGGTAACAATTGTGACTTGTCAATAGCAGATCAGATTTGAGGAATGCTTTCTCTTCAGTTCATACAGTCTTTTGTCTTCCTGTTTGCTATCTAAAATTGCAAANACGGAGTTTGTCTCATATATATTGTTGAGTGTAACAGGATGCTTAAATATAATATTCTAATTTTAAATTTGAAAGGGTTCTGATGATGGTGTATAACACCATTATTAATTAATGGGTTTTTGGACTTTTTCCATCCTCAGGTGAGGGTGGGGGGAAGACACCTACACAGATGGGCCCCTTAGAAAGAACTAATCTCAATCCAGTGATTGATATTAGCTCTTTCTAAGGTGCCAAACTGAGTAGGTGTCTTTCCCCTTCTCCTGAGGATGGAAACAGATCCAGTTTCCTAAACATTGTGTTTTTTAAGATTTGAGGTTTTCACGGCGGTGACTATGAAGAAAGCAGTCGTCTGGGATGTGGCACCATGTAGATGTGCCACGGTGCCACATCCCAGAAGACTGCTTTCTTCATTGTGTTTTTTGTTTTCTAGAATACTGGATGATGGAAAAAGTCCAAAAACCCAGTAATTCTTATTTTTTCCTGTTTCTCTAAGGATGTGAAGCTTGATTTCTGATGTAAAGGGGAACCACATAGACCAAGGATGTTAGAAGATAATAGGAAGGCAATGGTATACAGTCATACAGGTTTTGTTTCTACACATATAGTCATTTATATTTTGAGCATATTTTTAAGGTTTAGAATATGATTTTTTCCAGTTGTGACATTTCTTTTGTGTGAAGTCTGCTGTCCAATGAATGTTTGTTTCAGAGTAAATTTACTGCAATATAATGCAGTCATATTGATGAGGTGTGTTTGAGAACAAATGATGCCTTTGTTCTAAATTACTGAATAGTTTAGATTTAATCAGATGAACGATATACAGGATGTCCCAGGAGGAATGGACCAAACTTCAGGAGGGTGTTCCTTATGTTAAAGTATGCCAATATAACCCAAAACACCTATGTCCAAAGTTGAACGGTTACGGAGATAATGGCCTGAGAAAAGTGTGGTCTTCTGGCAGGTCCACGCACTATAGTAGCTGTCAGCTGAGACCCTTATCTGTTTGTCTTTGAGTGCTGTGAGTCACGCAACTGTAAGCTCATGCGCTACCTAGAGAGCGTACAGATTAAGTTGCGGCGGGGTTGTGAATGGGTGGTAAATTAGTTGTGTGATGAGTTGCTGAAATGCCTCTTGTTTTCACACGTGGAATATTGTGATATGCATTTTGTGTGTGGATTTTGCGGTGGCAATGCACGTGCTGCTGTTGAAGAATACCAAAGGCGTTTTCCCGATCGAAGGATTCCATCTCGAAGTGTATTTACGCGAATTCACCAGACATTGCGTGATACTGGTTCTCTTGCAAGTGTTTCTGTGCACTCTGAAAGGGAGGATGTACGAATGATAGACACACGAGAGCACATTCTTGATATTGTTCAGTGAAGTCCGCGTCTATCACTCGTAGAATCGCCTCTCGCATCGGCGTATCACGTATTCAGGTGTGGCAAACTTTACATCATGAAGAGTTATTCTTACCATGATCAAATGGTACAACATCTGGAACCAGGCGACCATGCACAGCGTATGGATTTGTGCCACTGGATAAAAAGTTCATCCCGAACTGTTAAGCGTCATTTTATTCAGTGATGAGGCGTCTTTTACCCTGGATGGTGTAAATAATTTACGAAATGTGCATACGTGGTTCCATAATAATCCACATGAGATAATGGAAACGAAATTCCAAAAGAGATTTCCTGTGAATGTACGTTTACAGTTATGTGGTCGGGTTATAGCGCAGCCATATTACGTCATCGCTCGCCAGTCATGTGTCATGTATAGTGCTTGGAAACCTAAGGACAATTATGACATGGCGAGCGAGTATTTCGTACTTCAATTTTATGGCTTTCCGTCACTCACAAGTTAGTTTGATGTTACGTACATTATTAACATTACAGAATCCACATATTCCTGCCAGTTTTAATATGTATTTTGTAATCAACAAGTGTGTAACAGCGGTCAAAGTTTCACACTTCTCTGGCCATTATCTCCGTAACCGTTCAACTTTGGACATAGGTGTTTTGGGTTATATTGGCATACTTTAACATAAGGAACACCCTCCCGAAGTTTGGTCCATTCCTCCTGGGACACCCAGTATATAAACGTTTATAAAAAGAAACAGTGATACACCTGTCATCCTGAAGGCTACAGATCCATAAATAAGTTGTTATAGTGAGCATTGTGGACCATTATTACATGAACAGAAAGGGTCTAATTCTTCATTTTAATTTGAGGACCAGAGACAGTGTCACTATGTGTTCGATGGTGGCTGCAAAGTGTAAAGAATCAGTATGAGATATTTCAGCTGTAACATAATAGGCATGAAATATTATACAGGCATGGAGGAAATTATATACATTATTATGGAAATCTTTCTTTGTGAGTGTAAATTAGAGGTATACTTTTAAGTTGAATGATAGTGTTACATGGACTGTTGTAGTGGAGTTTCATATTATGTTGTAATGTATCCGTGAGTTCTGTAAACAGGTATATAATAACAGTTATTTTATATATTTATTTAGCTACATTTTTTGGCAATAAGAAGCCATCTTCAGACATATAAGGTGTGTCCCAAAAGTCATGAAATATATTTCTTTCCC